TTTCAGAACCGGGGATTGAACTCAGGCCCTTGCGCTTGCCAGGGAAGTGCTTATTCCACTGAGCCATCTCCCTGGCCCCGCTGGGTTAGGTTTTTTTGTTTTTTTTCCTGGTTTGCTATGACTCTCTGGGTTCGAACCACAGAAGCTTGAGCTTGAGGGCTTTGTTTAAGCAGGCACTTAAACAACTGAGCTATTCGGTAGGCCCCCAGTACTAGAGAGTTGAAAGGCTTACCCATTTTAGATTTTTGCTGTTGTTCTATACCTGGAACAAGTAATTTTGACCTTTGTTTCAGGTTTTTTAAAACATGTATTGAATTAGTATAGTATAATACCATTCCTAACTTTCAGGCCTGCTGTGTTGAATACATTTATATAAAGATTTGGGAGAGTATTTTAGGAAAGTATAAGGTGATATGAGGCAGTAGGGTAGTATATTTTCCCAGCAGTATGTGCATTAACATGTTGTATATCTCAGATGCCAGAAGGATGATAGGCCTATTTTACCAGTAGTTAGGGAGCCCAATTTTATATCTTATAACTTTACCAGAAAACTGTTTATCAGCTAGTTTTCAAGATCAAGGGGACATTGTTCCTTAGTGGAAAGTATACTGACCTAGGGGATACTTGACTAGTTTTGTTTGGTTTTTTTTTTGGATCCGGGGATTGAATTCAGGCCCTTGCGCTTGCCAGGGAAGTGCTTATTCTACTGAGCCATTTCCCCGGCCCCTCAAAATTTTGGGACACTCAAAATAGGAGGATCACTATGAGTCTGATCTGTGTAGTGAGACCCTGTACTAAATACATTAAAAACAAAACAAAAAACCAACAACGACAAACACACCTGTCTGCTGTATTTATAAGAGTTGTAAGAGAGCTCCAGGCAGGAGTATACATGGGGTCACTAAGAGTGCCTGCTATGCTAGCTTTTGGACAGCCGCATCCAGGCATGCGGCCTGGCAGTATCTGCAGGTCCCCAGCAGGGTAGGGGAGGCTGTGTTTGTATCATGTTTGTTGTCCTGGGTGTGACTCTGAATTTGCCCAGGACTCCTCCTGACCCTGACCTAGTATGTTTCCTCTCCGTTGCAGGAAAATGAGAGTCTGCTTAGGCTCCAGCAGTAGTACTATGAGTCCCTGTACTGGTTAAAGCCATCTCCACGACCTGGACAGACAGCAAGGTAAGCAGAAAGGCCAGTCCAGGCGAGCTCCCGGGATGTGTGTGCATTTCCGCTCTGATTGCTGCCGGAAAATCCCAAGCAACACAAACAAGTCAAGGCAGTGCATCAGGGTTCCTCCTACCCCTGCTGCAGGACCCAGAGGAAGGGCTTGCTTCCCCTCCAAGAGCTCCAGCTAAGCTCCCTCCCCGCCCGGCGGCGGGGATTCTTCCAAGTTATAAAAAAATGAGACACTGGAGGGGAGGAAAACAAGTCCACTCACTGTCTTCTCCCTTCTCCCCTCTGAGCTGTTTGAGCAAGTTCCCAGGAACAGTCCAGAGCCCCTGGTTGACTGAAAGGGAGGTAAGAGGCGTGGAATGCGTACAGCAACTGAGCTGATCAAAAGACAGTGCTGTTTCATAGAAGTCTCCTAGAACTGAGTGAGAGAGAGAAAGAAAGAAAGCGCGCACTCTGGCTCCGGTGCAGAGAGCGTGCGCCCTGCCCCTGCGCCGCTGCCGGGTGGATAGGGTCTCCATGACAACTGGCCCGGCCGGCCCGCAGCGCTCCGCTCACTTGGCTGGAAGGAGCCCCGCGAAAGGTCAGAGGAAGGAGCTGTGGGAAGCTCGCGGCAGGTATCGGGCTTAAGCCAGTAGATGTGGGGGCCCTGGGCTCTCTGACGGGCTGTGGAGTGAGCCAGACTCTGCCGAGAATGGAGTGGGCAGGAAAGCACCGGGACTTTCAGGTAAGGGCAGTTCCACATTGCTCCTCTCCTTTCCGGGCCCTCGTTTTGGGCTATTTTCTGGGCGGCAAGCAGCAAGCGAGTGTCTGTATTCTCTGCTCAGGGCTTGGGGCTCTGGAGTGATGTCATGTTCCAACAGTTGGATTCTATTAACTCCAGGAGGAGAGAAACAGCCAATTTTCTTGACTTTGCAAATCTAGCCGATCTCACTCTTGCTGAACCTGAAGTGTTTGGGCTTCCTTCTAGAAGGCATTATTTTACTTTTACTTAAAAGTATGGAACCACCGGATATTTTTACAGGAAGACTCATTTATGTAGAAAGAAAATAGTCCTTAGCACTGTTTGTAGTTCTTACATGGAAACTCCAGGGTCTTCAGAGGGGCTTAGTTTCTTGTAATGGTCACTGTATTTGTCTTGGTAGTGTGCCTGACTTGAAAAAAAAATTACAAAGATAATTAAGCTCAGTGAGGAGGCTGGGGTGAGTTCCAGCCCCTCTGGAGGTTATTAGGACCGAAGGACTGTCCCAGGGATATCGGAGCTGGGTCTCATGCTCTTCCAACTGGTGGCTTGGTAAGAGGCAAGCCGTCCTTTCTCCGTAAGGCGGGTCATGGGCTTTCCTGAGTCCTGTAGGATGGAGCTGTCCTGGGGTCCGCAGGTCTGCGCACAAGGTATCTTGTGCAGTTGTTGCTGAGTAAACTCTTAGCAGTGCAGATGCTGGGATCTGGGGAAGGAAAGGCATTGTACTTGTGCCCAGTGGATTCCTTTGGTTAATATTTTAATCTTATCTCAGGGTACGCAAAATCTACTCAGTGTACTCCTTATACTTTGTCTTAAATTTTGGTAAAACTCGTTTTCACTTAGAGGAATGAAGTGTTAGAAGCTCAGTGTAGCCCAGGAAGGAAGACCCTCCCACAAAAAGGGGATGAGATAATTCGATCCTTGGTGGTACTACTAGGAGGATGAAGCTGCAGACTGTCCCTGCGGGAGAGACCCGGCGGATATGCTTCCCCTTCAGCCCTGTTCTGTCTTAAACATACTCCTCGGTCTCAGGAAGCTTTATAGATGCTTTTGGTTTTTCTTAGTGGGATGAAGGAACAGCTGCTGTCCTGGCTCTTGGGTTTTTCATCTTGAACTTTCTGAACAGAATGTCTTTTGTATTCTGGCAAACAATGAGGGGGCCCTCTGATTAACTTCGGGTCAGCTTGCCAATGCAAGCACTGGCCATGTCCTTGATTCTGGCTCCCAAAATGTGCACGTGTATGTTTCAGTGCTGTGGCCTGAGGGGCCGTAAGGGTGAACTAAGCTGCCCTGAACTTCAGACAGGCCATTTCTAAAGTTAATTTTTCCTTTTGATACATTACAGGAATTCTCTGTTTCACTGAAATCTCCATTTTCCTGGAGGAATGTGGCCTAGTGCTATTCTTTGGGACTAAAGATGAGGGTGTGAGGAAGAGGTCTCTGCGCCCAGTGGTCCCTTAGGGGCAATGCAAGTCCAGAATTTCAAGTCTCCTCTACTCACGGGAATGTAGTTAGGGCTGCTCCAGTCTGACCATCACCATGTACTTGTGCCTCCTCCTTTTCTCCTCATTCTTCCGCAGGGTCTCACTATGTACTTTAGGCTGGCCTTGAACTCATAATAGTTCGTTATAGCTTAGTCTGGGCTAAGCTCCATATCATGGAAATCCTCTTGTCTAAACTTCCTGAGTCCTGGGATTGATGCACCACCACAGCCCATCATATTTCTTCTGATATAGAAGAAAGAATAATGAATTGGAGTTAGAAGATATGAATCCATTGTTGGGTTCTGCTGCTTTCCAACTGAATACCTAACTAATTAGTAATTGGTATTACTAATAATACCAGTTGAGTAACTAATATTTATATATGTATTTATTGTATTTGGTACAGAGTCTCACTACACAGCTTGGTTTCATAGTGATCCTCCTGTTTTCATCCTCTCCAGCGCTGGGATTATAGGTGTGCCCCACCATGCTGGGTCTCAGTGGCTGGCTCAGCATCCCTGGGGGTGGGGCCAATGCGGCATGTGGTGCTGGGGATTGAACCCTCATTCCAGTGCTTGCCTAAGCAGGTGCTTAGTCCAGTGACCTGTCTCATCTGCCCTAACTAAGTAAGCTTCGGGATATTAGCTGCATGATAGAGAAAATGATAATAGTAGCTTCATGGTTGGGAGGAGCAAATGGGGTAGTTTCTATGAAAGTATTTTCTTTTTTTAAATTTAAGACAGAGTCTACAGGGTCTCACTGCATAGATCGGACGCGTAGTGATTCTCCTGTTTTCAGCCTCCCAAGTGCTGGGATTTCAGGTGCGCGCCACCACACCCAGTCTCAATTGCCATATCAGTGCGCCCCCACGGGGGGGGGGGGGTAGCAGCACTACACGGCATGCTGGGGATTGAACCCCGGCCACTGTGCTCTGCATAAGCAAGTGCTTTAGTCTGCTGAGCTATCAGGCCAGCCCTGAAAGTATTTTCAAATAAATCAAGTCCTAATGATATAACAGATTTTGAATTGAAACTGAAGCAGTGATTTAGCTGTCTTGTAGAAAGTCACTTTGCCTCTCTGTTCTGGTTACCCCATTTATGTAGTGCTGTATACTTTTCTACATCTGTAAATGAAAATGAGAAAAATCCCTAAATGTCTGTTTGAAATGTTTACAGAAAGAAATAGGGCATTCTTTGGGTCAGAGTGGGTCACTGTAGACTGAGCCTCACAAATGATCCTTTAAGGATAAGGCTTTCTGTAGGTTGCTCGGCTCATGTATTATAAGAGGACAGGAATTCCGAGAGATCCTTTGTTTTTCCAGTGTCCGTATAATTACAGTGTCATGCATTTGACTGGCTGGAAGAGAGGCTGTTGGATGCCAGGGCTAGCTCCCCCGTTCTGCTAGGTTCTCCTGAGGAAACTGTCCTGAGTGGGCAGAAGGGTCTGTTTGAAAGGGTAAGGTTCTAACTGGTACAAAGTGCTCTTGCTCTGAAGGTTTTGTTAGGGGCTGGGCAGCTCTTTCAGGAACTTGTGAGGCAAGCTATCGCTTGGGGAAAATAAAAAAGAAAAACAAGGAAGTGGGAATTCCAAGGGCAGCTATGGAGCTCTGTTGTGGGCCTGTGCCAAGGAGGGGAATAGCGGGGGCGGGGAAACTCCATGCAAAAGTGTCCCAGATCTGTCCTGTGAACCTGTAGGACACGTGGTGTACTAGGCACACCCTCCTGCCCCCAGCAGCCTCAGCCTTTGGGACTGAGATGGGAAAAGCTGGCAGCCGAACCCCAGACTGGTGTCTGGGGAGAAGCCTCATGCAGACCTCAAGTAGGCAGGGTTGTGTTTTTTGTTGTTTTGCTTTGCTTTTTTTTTTTTTTTTTTTTTAAGAAATAGCAGTGTTCTCTTTCCAGGTAACTGAGAGAACAATAGCCTCGAAGGCCTGAAAACGTTGTCCACAGCTTAGGTTAGACTGCAGCTGTTCCCCACTCGGCATCAGTCTGCTTCCCAGGGCTGAGTCACAAATTGGATCCCACTCTGTTCCTTAAGGATTAAAAAGTAACATTCCTGTTCTCTCCCCCTTTCTCTGTTCCCTGCCTGGGTTCCTTCTCTTTAAAATTAGAATAATCAGTCACCCAAGGAAGTTGAAACTTTGAAATATGTTGGAGAACAGGCCAAGGGCATCCTCAGCTCTGCTCCCTGGGCCTCTGCCCTGGGAATGAAGGGCTGGGAGAACTGTTTCTGGGAGGCACCCCAAACTCCGAGTGTGATGGCCTGGAACCTAAGAGGCTGTGTGCCCCTCCCAGCTGCATCTGATTGTAAAAACTACTTTGGGGAGGTGGCCTGGTGCCTGAGGGAGGTGGGAGAGTCTGAGTCCCTTGGAGGAGTGGGACTGAGGGATTGATTGACACGTGTGTCTCCTTTTCATTTGATTTTCGTAGCTGTTAGCTGTCCCTGCTCTGGTGACTCCCGATTTCCACTCTTGGGCCCAAAAGAGCATGCTGAGGCAGCCAAGGAACAGCAATGCGTATCTGAGCCCGGAGGAGGTCAGGCAGCAGCCCTGCCTGCCCAGCGCTGGCTTGGCCTCTCCTCTGTGCCTTTTCTGCACTGGTTTGGGGGCTGAGGGTGGGGTAGGGGAATCTACAGGCAGATAATCGAGTTCTTTGAGTTAGAGGGACCATGGAAAGCGGAGAAGGGGCCAGGAGGGCATGGAGGGGGGAGACCATCTGGCAGAGTTGGCAGAGATTTCTCTTTAAAGCCGATGGGAAAGCCTGCATTAGTGTGTGGGTTCTTCAGGGAGTAGAAAGGGAGTCTGTACATCCCTGATGCCGGAGGGGAGGCACTGTGAGCCCCTGTCTCAGTAGGTGGGTAGGAGGAAGATTGGGGGAATCGGCCTTAGGGAAATGTGCCTCAGTGCTGTGCTCATAGAAAATCTGGGACCTGGAGTGTCTATCTAGCCTCCTGCCTTAGAAAGTGTGTGTGGGGCCGGGGAGATGGCTCAGTGGAATAACCGCTTCGCTGGCAAGTGCAAGGGTCTGAGTTCAATCCCCAGTTCCACAAAAA